ACATTTAGTTTAGAATACAATTTTATTAATTTATATACAGTCTTTTTTTATTTTCGGCAATCGCAAACGATATATTTTTAGAATTGGTGAAGTTCATCTAGCCAGTATTCAAAAAATTTAAATGTTTTCACTGAACATATGACCCGACTAAGCACTTACGTAATGACCCTAATAAAGAAATTATTCTAAAAAGATTTATAATTAATAATGAATATTTTTAATCATATTATTTTCAAATAATAAAATATAATAGATGAGTATAATTCAAATATAAAAAAAAAATTTGGAAAAATCCAAAAGTGCACACCACGAACGGGTTAACAATAGAGACATTCAAAAGGCTTCCTAAGGGTTAAAATTCAAAACTAATAAAAAGTAATCAGTGATAAGTTCAGATTTTTTCGAAAGATATCTTGTTCACATCCATACCGACAATTTTCAATTAACTTTTTTTTAATAATAATCGAAATAAATAATATGATAACTACGTCAGAAGTGTTAATTGAAATCTCCTCTTGCTATTGGTGCATTTTTTTTATTATATAAGTGCTATGTAATGTGTAATGTGCTGGTGGAAGTGATTTAAGTTGAGTGGATTTCGATTTTTTGATTTGGTGACAATAGGACACTAAAAATAGCAATAATGAATCTTATTATAATAATAATAATTTATAATGACGACTCCGTAGCGCAGGGGCGTGGCAATGAGTTGCAGCGATGGGCCGCGGGTTCGAATCCCGCACGGAACAAGTATTTGTATGGTCTACAAATAATTGTTCCGGGTCTGGATGTTTGTACTTGTGCAATTTATGTTTGTAAACTGCCTTCACGATACAGGAGAAAATCCTAGTGTTCGAGTAAAGATTTTTAAAAAAAGGACAAAAAATAAGAAAATAACATATTATAATTCATTTAGGGAAAATCTTACAAAAAGCGGTAACGCTTCCTAAAAATAAAAAAGCCTTTATTATAGATATAACCTAACTATTGTGTTAGTCCCCCCCGCGTGACCATGGGTGCTGTAAAGCGCTCGAAACGTCGGGAATATAAAATAAGTTAATATACGCGAGAAAATCCGTAAAATTAGTTTTATTTAAATGTGTAGTGTTCGCGTAAATATAAGAAATCATTATTTTGTTAAGTTAGGATAGGTTAAACAAACTGGTATAACAAGCTCCCATTATTTACTCCCACCTAACTCAAAAAGTAATAGTCCTACACAAGTAATTTTGCAAGTCTAATAAGGCCAATTGAATACGTAGAATCTTTATTTTTACGAATACAAGTTTTTTAGGTAGTTCTTATGTTATTAACTTCCTTCTGCGTAGCATTGAAAGGAAGTTAATGGTTTTAGCTGGCAGTCTGTTAGTCTGTTTTCCGACACGATAACATCCGTTCCACTGGACCGATTGACTTTAAATTTGGTATGTGGATACCTTGAGGTAGTAGCTCGGTCGAGTTTGAATTTGGGTCCTGTAGGTCAAAGGGCACCAGAGATATATATTCACGCAGAAGGAAGTTGTTTTTCTTGAATTTACATTCAACTCGTTAAGGTCTGAAAGTGTCTTTTTATCATTCACTAATTCACCGATTCACTGACTCACTCAAAATCATAGATTACTTCTAGGCGATTTAACCAACTCCCTCGTTGGTCTTATTGTAAATGCAATTGCTGAACAGAGGCTGTGGGTTCAAATCCCGGCTCAAATGAAATTCTCAGTACCAGAAAGAAGTCAGTAAGTTGGCGATGTCTCAACCCCGTGCCTCGGAAAGCACGTAAAACCGTTGTCCCTGGTCGTGTCGGATTACCGTCCCATCGGACTATGAGAGTGAGGGAATAGAGAGTGCACCTGTGCTTGCGCACACACTTGGGCACTATAATCCTGCCTGGCGCAAATGGCTAGTCTCCGTTAAGAATGTTCACCGTAGACGTAGTTCGGTCTGCAGGACATTATTAGGTGATTCAAGAGTTTGAAATTTACATCAAGGTGGATCTAATAGGATTATTATTACAAAGTAAATTTTAATTTACAAATTATCGATATTCGTTGTCGACAAAGTCATTAGTGTTAATTTCTTCTACTATACTTGAACCCATAGAGCAACACGGGTCATCGACGGACCGGATGGGAGTAGCCATACGCAGGTGTTCCCCTCTATCGAAGTAAAAGTCCACGCGGTCCTATGCGTATAATAATGCGTAAAACTATTTGCAACCGCACGTCCTACAAATTGCCGAATTGTGCAGTTTTTTTTTGCTGCGAAAAGATATCTGTTAGGTCAAATTTACAATTGGATGGCGTTATCTTTCATATTATATAAGTAATTTTAATCACATCGCTCGAACGACTGATACGATTTTATTACCGAGTTGTTGCTGTCAACGAGCGATACTTTTTTTATAGGATAAGGGTGGGAAACGAGCACACTGTTCACCTGATGGTAAGTGGTTGCTGTGGCCCATAGACATCTATCTTCGATTACAAATCAAAATGCAGATGCGTTGTCACCCGTGAGGACTAAGCTGGAATGCCTCGTTTCCAGTAAAAAGGGTCTCCGGTTCTCTACACTCACCATACGAAACACAGCAGCGTTAAGCTGCTATTTTACGCTGGTTTTCTGTGAGAGCGTGGTCCTTCCCCGGTCGAGCCGACCCATTCGTGCTACAACCATAACATAGCTGCAGCATGGCTCTACCACGATACTGTTAAAATGCATCTATGTGTGTGTGAAATTGTTTGTTAATTGTTATAACGATATACTAATAACTACTCTACTAAAGGGCCGTGTAATCGCGGTGTAAGAATGACCACTACTTCATATCATCCCGTGGGTGTCGTAACAGGCGACAGAGGGAAACAAATCAGGAGATGGGCAGCAGCGTCTTTCTAGTAACGACTAAAAATAAAAACAGCTAAGCACGGCAACTATAGCAAATATCCCCCCTATATGGCAATCTATGGGGGAGGCCTATGTTCAGCAGCGGACTTTAATAGACTGTAACAATATAATTGTTATGTGTGAGTTTCGTAGTGACAGAAGATTCTTTTTGTGTGTGCGAATTTCCCCCCGCAAAAAATTACAGACAGTTTTGTGTCGAGAAAAACACTATGACTCCTCTCCGGTCATCCGTTGGCCCGTGTTACTCTATGACTTGAACGGGAACTTAAAAAGTAAATTTAAAAAAAAGAAAACACATAACTGCAAGAAAGCCGTTATAGGTAAATTTATATATATATTTTTTTACAGATTTAAAGGATAAACTTTTAGAAACCTATTTTTATTTATGCCACCAAAAACATACCGTAGTATATATTATAGAATCGACACTTCACTATCCTCATTACCCATTAATTACACTCAATGATATTTTGTCAGAGTTTGTTGTTAAAGCAAACATTACCACACGAATGTAATAACTGACAGCTCCGTGGCGCAGTGACTTAGCAATGAGTTACGACGCTGAAAGCCGCGGGTTCGGATCCCGCTTGGAATAAGTATTTGTATGGCCCACAATTTATTGTTGGAAGGATGTTTGCCCTAGTGCAATTTATGTATGTAACCTGCCTCCACGATACAGGAAAAAATCCTATTGAAGGGGTTACATTTTAAAAAAATGTGACTGTTAGTTGATTACGAGTAACATATAATTAAAACAAAATGTTTTTACATTACATTTTCATCAATATATTGGGAAGCCAAAGTTCATATTTATATCAAATTCCTTGTGTTGATTTTATGGCTCTCTTCTGCATAACAATTTGTGCCATTTGCTGTAGAGACTATCGGTCCGTCGGGTCCACGTGCGGTGGAGTTCCTAAAGGAACTCCATCCGCGGCTGGTCGTTGCTGCTGGTGATAAGAGGGCTGGTTCTTGTCTCACTCAAAGGCTAAGTATAGCCATTCAGCGAGGAAACGCAGCCAGCGTTCTTGGTATGATACGACGGGGAGAAGGACTGTATGATAATTAAGTTATTAGTTTTAGTTTTTATATTAGTTTTTTAATATTGTATATATTGATAAATATAAAATACAAATAATAATTTTAATTGCATTTCAGTACAATGAGGTGTTAAAACACAATTCGACATTTTTAATACGATTGATCAGAAAATTTGAGGTTGGTCACTCTAAAATGTCTCACACTTTTTAGGGTGACCAACCTTTAAGCTGAAATGTCAATTAGGTAAGTTATTATAATGGATATATTTTTACATCATTCTCTAGTATAAGACACTCTCAAAATAATTAAAAAAATACAAATCTGTGTGTGTGCGTGCGTGCTTGCGTGCGTGTGTACATTTTTTTAAAAGTCATGTTTACTGATTGAATTTCTAAGAAATGTCCATATGGTTATACTATAAGCATTCGTTTTACAGAATAGATCATTTTCTACCGACTTCAAAAAGGACTACCGGTTTTTTTTGTTTGTAACCTCAACTTTGTTCTACGTGAACCGATTTAGATGACTCTTTTTTTATTTGAAAGCTGGTGCTTCTCATGTGGTCTCATATAAATTTAAATAAGGCCTTACTCATAGTTTTTGAGTTATCCTTAATAATATATATTGAAGTCGGTTGTACAAAAATTTTACTTTTAAATTGTCGTAAATTCTAATCGCGAAAGGTTTGTCGTAACATTACACAAAATATTATCATAAATGTGTATCGTAAGAGGAGGATCTCGGCTCGTGCGATACTTATGTAGACCGACGGTGCTCATCAAACCATGCAGAAAACAAAGGCAACGGAAATATTACTCCAGTCGACGACAAGAAAGCCGACGAGACAGTTTCCTAAGCCTGACAAATATTTAAAATTAAAAAAAAATACTGCCAATTTTACCGCCAAAAATATTGCGTGTTTTTACAATAAAATCTGCGCTTAAAAGTGATTTTCTATATTGATGTATATTGATGTATGTTTACGCAACGAAGGAAAATTTTCCACGTATTTATGTGCCCTGATTGGAGGACATTAATCGAATAGTTTTTTTTTTACAATGAACGCTAATAAAGGCGCTACGGTGTTGCACTTAATATTGATTGCTTTCTACACACGGTATGCGTGCGCCGACGACCACTTTAAGATGGTAAGTATACCTTTCAATATCATCTGTTTTTCAATATTGATGTTTCAATTGATAAATAAGTACTGATATTAGCATATTAACTTTGTATCAGTTTATTATTTTTTTGGTAATGATTTCGTACTGTTGTACTTTTGCCAGTGTCAAGTAAATTAAGATTTGTTTTTTCTTAATTTAATTAATTTAAAAACTTGTTCACATTATTTTGGGAGATTTTGACGGCAACTTTAGCCAGCAGACAGTAGATGACGACAGTATCTCAAGACTTCTAAGCTGACACTTTATCTTAAGGTCCACATCACCATCGGAGCACTTGTTCCATCGTTTCTACTAACAGTTCACATGCGCAGGCTTAATACGCAAAATTGCACTACTTTTATATATTAAAATCTACTTAGAACCATTATTTAAACAATAACACAAGAGCAGCAATCAGCCGCCGGTCAAGTTCTCGCCAAAACTCTTTATTACAGGGTCACTAATCAATTTTGACTGCCTCGTTGATATAGCGGTCGTAAACGCGATTGTTGACCATGAGGTCCCGGGTTCGAATCCCTTGTCGGGCCAAAATCAGTTACCTATTTGGTTTTTCTCTCAAGAATATACGAATATACGTGGTAGAGTCATGTCATATGTGGTAGAGCCATGCTGCAGCCATAGTAATAGTATAGTTGTAGCACGAATGGGTCGGTTCGGCCGGGGATGCACCACGCTCTCACAGAATACCAGCATAAAATAGCAGCTTAATGCTGCTGTGTATTATATGGTGAGTGTGTAAAGAACCGGAGACCCTTTTTACTGGAAAAGAGCCATTCCACATTAGTCCTCACGGCTGACAACACATCTGCATTTTAATTCGCAAACGAGGTTAGATGTGGATGTCTTTCGGCCACAGCAACCACTTACCATTGAGTGGACTGTGTGCTCATTTATCACTCTTATTCTATAAAAAAAAAGAAATTCTTAGTAGCATCCCGAAACCTGAAAAATCAGGAAGTTGTTGGTGTTTACCCCATTGCCGGCACGTAAAACCGTTGGTTCTGCGCCTGATCTCACTCCGATCGTGTCGCTTACCGTCCCATCGGACTACAAGGCTGAGATCTATAGATTGTACTTTGACTTTGCTCAGACTTAGCTTACGACAAACTTAGCTGAGTATTTGCTCAGCATAATCTTTGATTCTGAATTTATAGTTGTATCGGGCTAAGATTAAGCTAAGCTTATGCTAACACTTGTGCTTGCGATACTAATCACTTTTGCACTTTTTAACGTCAACGCGTAGAGTCACATGTTCTCGAAATATTTTGTTCCTCAGACACACAGGTTTCCTCACAATGATTTCTTTCATCGCCGTGCACGTGATAAATCAGCAATTAAAATTGCTATTAACAATATCATTGGTGCTGGCGGTGATCGAATTCAGTCCAATCCAATTGCTTGTGTAGGTACTGTAAAATTTATGGGAAGTGCTTAACACATGAGCTGCCAAGACATTTCAATCTTATTTGGCCAAACACTTGAGAAGATTTATGGGACTGTGGTTAACTAGGAAGGATCGGCAGAAGGAAATGAGGGTTCCGTATAAAACAAATAAACCTAAAAATGTTAGGATAACGTCCTATAAGCCCTAATCAAATGAAAGTTTGCCATAACAAGGTCCGTGATTTGCAGACTCGTTTGATGCATTACTGGGTTTATGTGGTCTTCCTTTTTTGTCTAGGTATCTGGGTACGTGCCATTCTATTACCGAATTCTGTCGCTTTGCAGTAGCGTTGCCACTCACTGTAGTATTTGTTTTTATAGAATAAGGGTGACAAACATGCACACATTCCGCCGATGGTGAGTAGATGCTATGGCATATAGACACCTATATATATCCTCGATTAAGAATCAAAATGCAGTTGCCACCCCTGAGGACTACGATGGAATGCCTCATTTTCAATAAAAAGAGTATCCAATTCTCTACAGTCACCATACGAAAGCCAGCAGCATTGAGCTACTATTTTACGCTGGTATTCTGTAAGAGCGTGGTCCTTACCCAAACGAGCCGAACCATTCGTGCAATAACGATAAATGCAGCGTGGCTCTACCACGTTTGGTGATGGGATTTGAGAGTTAAGAAAGTCAGTATAATAATGTGAGTCCATCCATTCATCCATTACAGCCTATAAAAGTAATATTTATTAAAAAAAAAGCCCAGCTGGGTTTCTTGCTGGTTCTTCCCAGGACAGAGGGTTTTTTCGAACCAGTGGTAAAGTAAAAAATGACTTTCTATAAGAGTTACACATGTAATCTATATTCAATAAAAAATTGTTCTATTCTATTCTATAAAATCCACTGTTGATTTAATATAATTTTAGGTTTATGTAGAATATTATTATGTTTATGCGAGTTTCTTAATTAGATACATACATCAATGTGTGATGATGTTTGGATGCTTATTACTCAGTAAGGTTTAAACGATTTAACGAAGTTGTATGAAATTTGGTACATACATTCATAGTCCACATAATAGGTGAAAACAAATTAAAGGTTACCTGGCGGTTTTTCATTTTACGCGGGAAATAACGTGAAAATGAACGTGTTTTTGGCATATATTTTTTTTAATTTTCATTGTGTAAGTGTAAGTGTCGAGTGAAATTGGATGGGAGACGATCATTTCGTTTTGAGACATGCGAAAGGAAAAAATATCACTTATATTACATACTACTTTAACAGTAGATTGGCCTCTTTCTTTAATGGACTTATTCACCTTATGATAAATGATCACTGTCGCACATGAACATCTGCAACACCAGAGGAATTGCAGGTGCGTTACCGGTCCTCTAGGGGAGTAGGCTTTTAAGGTCCCTTAGTCATATCGGTTCGAACAAACAACTGGCGTGGCAGACAATTCCGTGTAAGGCACACAGTTGTGGATCGCCAACGAGGTGATGTGGATGGAATTTCGAGTTCTGTCGCAGAGTACGATGGTAGCATTCAGCTGTTATATACCGTTACAGCCCAATATACATGTGACAATCGTTAACGATTCGGTTATTTGAGCCGGGTCACGTAAAGTATTGATTATTGCAATTATATTTTTAGAACGATCCGGAGCAAACGATTGACAGAACGTTTATAATCTGTGAGCTGATATTGACTTTCGTGAATTGTGATCGTAAGAGTGGGTATGATGCAAATAATTAACAGTGGTAGAGCCACGCGGCAACTTTTGCTGTCGCACGGATGGGCCGGCTCGAACCGGGGTGGTACCACGACCTCACAGAATACCAGCGTGAAGTAGAGGTTTACCTCTGCGTTTCGCTTGGTGAGTACAGGTGGCCGGAGGCCCTTTTTACTGGAAATGAGGCATTCCATCTTAGTCCTCACGGGTGACAACGCATCTGCATTTTGATTTGTAATAGAGGATAGACGTAGATGTCTATGGGCCGCAGCAACCACTTACCATCAGGTGGACTGTGTGCTCGTTTGTTACCCTTATCCTATAAAGAAAAAAAAATAAATATGCTTTTTTCTATTTGCGTAATACCCACTACTACACTCTACCACGACACTATGACCTAAACTACGACCAATCCATTCCAGTATTTTAAGGCTGAAACGCTTGTGTGTGTTTGAATTTGAGATAATAATGGCAGCAACTTGCTTCTGTAAAATACTATTTATCTTTCGTAGCACAGGAATAAAAGATAAGAAATCTCATTTATTTTTACACACAGTAAACGTCAGAAAACTATGCGATAAATAAACGGGAATGACCTGCGCTCACGTATCGCGACAGAGTGACCGATTACTTACTGAAACCTGAGACGATCCATTTGAATGATATATTCGAAAGACTGGGTCACTAGAATGAACGATTGACACATTTCTACAGCCTAACAAAAGTCCACAGATAAACACAAGCCTCCTCCATAGAATACTTTTCTAACCATAGTTTTTAGGATTCCGTACCCAAAGGGTAACCAAAAGGACCCTATTACTAAACCGCCTCTGCTGTCCGTCCGTCCGTCCGTCCGTCTGTCCGTCAGCGGGCTGTAGGTATATCATGATCCGTAATAGGTAGACCGTTGAAATTTCACAGAATGTGTATTTCTGTTGCCGCTAACAGCAAATAATAAGATTTAAAATAAATTAGAAATTAAAAGGGGCTTCCCTATTAGACACGTGTGTTACAATGGTACGGAACCCTTCATGCGCGAGTCCGACACGCACTTGGCCGGTTATATATATTTTTGTTGTTATAAAAGGAAGACGCTGCTGTCCATATCTTGGTTTATTTTCATCTGTTACTTACGACACCCACGGGGTGATATGGGGTAGTGGATATTCTTACACCGCAACTGCACAGTGTTATTTAGACGTGGTTTTTTTTTTTTTTTATAGGATAAGAGTGACAAACGAGCACACAGTCCACCTGATGGTAAGTGGTTGCTGCGGCCCATAGACATCTACATCTATCTTCTATTACAAATCAAAATGTAGATGCGTTGTCACCCGTGAGGACTAAGATGGAATGCCTCATTTCCAGTAAAAAGGGCCTCCGGCCACCTGCACTCACCAAGCGAAACGCAGAGATAAGCCTCTACTTCACGCTGGTTTTCTGTGAGGTCGTGGTACCACCCCGGTTCGAGCCGGCCCATCCGTGCGACAGCAAAAGCTGCCGCGTGGCTCTACCACTGTGGTAATTATTTCCAAATTTTTTGACGGAGACCCTTTTAACTGGAAACGAGGCATCTTGGTTATAAGAGGTGACAACGTATCTTCATTTTGATTCTTAATCGAGGATAGATTGACTAGCATTAATGTAAATGTCTATGGTCCACAACATTCACTTATTACCATTAGATGAAGAGCAGCTTAACACTGCTGTGTTTCGTATGGTGGGTGTATAGAACCGGAGACCCATTTTACTGGAAAAGAGGCATTCTATCTTAGTCCTCACGGGTGACAGCGCATCTGCATTTTGATTCTTTATTGAAGATGGATGTAGATGTCTA